ATTCATATACCAGCCCACCTTGCCCTGCTCTTTGAAACAGTCAACCTAATACAAAATTTAAAGTACAATATAGTTCCAAAGACTAAACATTAGTAGAAGTATAGCTTCTCTTTTGAAATACAATACAGTTTATCATCCTCCACCTACTGAAACAAAAGTCTTTAATTAGATATTTCAGGTTTTTCCAAGCCATGTGCCAGACACACCAAAAAAGGCTTTGTTGATCTTAGGCATTTTCCAGCCCTCTTCTGCTTGCCACCAGTGGAACAAAGCCATTCCATGACAAAGAAAAGAAAATTTGCAAATGAAGTCCTTTCCTTAGTAATAATGATTAACTTGTGTGGAGTTTGGTGGCAAATTGATATGGAGAGAGAATAGTTATTCAGAAACAACACTTTGCTGTGCCAGAATGGACCACTTTCCAGACCTTAATGAATATTCCAGATTCCTGGGGTTTAACCTCCCCCCACATTTCACAGATGAAAAAGTTCGGACAAGGAGAAGTAAGAGTGACCAGCTTGGGGGCCACACAGTAAGTGGGTGAGTGGGGTTTCTAACCCTGTAAAAAGATTTGACTAGAATTTGGTAGATGGGATTAACAAGGCTCTTGTTTATTCCAGATTGTCCTGCTTCTCTTTATAGAGTCCTTTTTTTTGGCTGGGGAGCTTACATACTGAGGATGTCTTCCCTTGGTTTGGGGGCTGTCAGAAGTTTGGCTTCAACTTCTGAGCTCTTTGTGAAAGGAGAGATGGGTCTATTGGGTAACACACGTGGCCTTTTCAAGCAACACCTAGTGAAAGACAGAAGGGAGGGATGTGCCCAGTGTTGTCAAAGCCTTTATGTGCTATCATTGGTTGAGAAAAATTTGAAAAAAAACTTTCCCTCTCCCTTCCACTATCCAACTACTTTCCTTTTGGCAAGCGGGAGCTCTCTTTCCTACATGAGTCCTCCTTCGAGTTTTTAAACTAACATGTCCTACCTGCTAGCTTTCCTTTTGTTAATAGGAACCATCACCCCAGAATGGTGTGAGAACTGGAACACGGCCCAGCCTTGGCTCTTTGTTGCTTCTTTCTCCCTCTTGCCAATTCATGGAAAACTGACCTTACTGGTAAAATATCTTGATTAGAAAGGTTAACTTTTGTGGGGTGGTGAATATGAGCTGGCTTTGACCAAAAACTTGCACTGTTTTTAACTGATAGTCTAGTCCAGGTATTTATTTGATTAAAGTTTTTTTTTTCTTGGCCAAATTTTACCCGTGACTCATTTTTCTGAAGCTATTGAATGCTTAAAGCACATTCAATATGCCATAATGTCTCCAAATACTTCAAAGAATTATTCTGCCATTCTTACTTTTCTTCTTTGTTTTTGTTCTGCAGCTCAGTTTTGTTTATTTGTTTATTTGTTTCTTCCACAGGTCTATGGATAGAATTAAGTTCATAGAGTTCAAACTAGAAAGGAGCTTAGAAATCATTTATTTCAGGGGTGGGGAAATTAACAGAACAAATCCCTTTAATAAGAGGATTTGTTCGTAAAACTTAGACTCAGTCAAAAGGCCGCACTCAAGGACCTAGAAGGCCACATGTGGCCTCGATGCTGCAGATTCCCACCCCTGATTTAGTCCATGCATTCATTTTTCAGATGAGGAAACTGAGGCCAAAAAGTAAACAGGAGAGCAAGGATTTGAACCTGAGTCTTCTGCCTTCAAATCTGGTCCTCTTTCTGCTGTTCCTTCTTTCACCTTTTTTTTTTTTCTTGATGCAGTCAGCTTAGAATGCTTGTTTATCCCAACTTTGCAAGTTCTTGTGCTAGAACGAGACCCCTAAGGAGCTCTGCTTACTTCCTGTTGCACTCTTCTTTGATATTCGTTACCGAAGCTCTTAAACATAACATGAATTCTATTTTTAGAGAGGTGTCTCTTGCAATTACTTTTAATGCTGAAAATCAAAAGGCCTAATCTAAACCTTCTTTGGCTGGTATGGGTTCTTACCTTCTATGCAGCTGAAGGTAAGGAGGCCTGCTGTACTACGCTTTGTCCCTTGTCCATCTTGCCCATACTGCTAACATTTTAAGAAAGGGATTCTAGGTTTCTGAAAAATCACTTTCTATGGGGCAGCGAGGTGGCGCAGTGGATAGAGCACTGGCCCTGAAGTCAGGAGGACCTGAGTTCAAATCCGACCTCAGACCAAACACTTGACACTTACTAGCTGTGACCCTGGGCAAGTCACTTAACCCCAATTGCCTAAAAAAAAAAAATCACTTTCTGCCTTCCTTTGAGGAAGTGCTCTTATGACTTTTAGCACATGTGCCTTCAATAGAGTCAATATTTTTTGTGGGGAGAGCTTTTTAGAGGATATCAATGAGAGGGTCATATAGTTATCTTCACTAACTGATATCTGTTGAAAAGTATCCACAATATACCTTGTCATACCTTTGTTGGAAAGCCTCTGATATTCCTCATTATCTATATAATGTTAATTCCTAAAATACCAGAAATCCGAGGCCATCCCTAGTTTAGTCTTAACCTACTTTTTAGCCTTATCTCCCTAAATTAGGGGTTCTTAACTGTTTTTGTGCCATACATAGTTAAGAATCAGTTAGATGGACCAATTATAGTGAAAATAAAGATGTATTTTTTTTTCCCATCCAAGTTCATGAATTCTCTGAAATCTATCCGCAGACCCACAGGGTCTATGGACCCTAAGCAGTGGTAAGCTGATAAATGTTTAACAACTGATTCTTTGTGTCACAGCTAGAGTTAAGTCTCCTGGTATCCTGCCCTTCATTCCTGATTTTATTAAGCAATTTGGAGAATACCCAAAGTTCAGTGGTCTAATAGACTGGTGGTATCAAACTCAAATAGCAATAGGGGCCACTAAACTTTACATAAGGTTTCCTGTGGGCCACATATTAAAACACACATATTTATGTATTTTTAAAATTATTAATACATCGATCATTAAAATCAGATAGGAACGACATTATTATCCGGCACAGGATGTACTTGGGAGTCTCATGGGCTGCACGTGGCCTGCATTCACATATTTGGAAACTCTGTTGTAGACCGCCCCACTGCTTTGCCTTACAGGTGATGGGACATATTCACTTTGTCTAAAACTCTTTGTAAAGTTTGAGCCCCAAGTAGTTTGGGGGACCTGGCATTGGAACATGTATCTTGCCGTATATCCAAGAAGCTGGCCTGCCCATGGACCCGGGGACAGTGTGTGGGCTTGCCCCACTGACTTCTGTTCTCTCATGGCTGCCATTCCTGGGGAGCAGTACCACTTTTCAGAAATATCTCTCTCCCATTTTGTCCTGTATATATGCATCTTGTTTTCCTCACTGGACTATGAGATTTTTGAGGGAAGAAATTATACTTTTTTATAGTATAAGAAACAATGTGGTGCAGTGAAGAGAGCATTGGATTTAGGAAGACTTGGGTTCAAATTCCACCTTAGATATTTACTAACTGTATAACCTTGGGCAAGTCTCTTAACTTCTCTAAGACTCAGTTTCCTCATCTGTAAAATAAGGGCATTAAATCTGATGACCTTGAAGGTGCCTTCCAGATCAAAATCTCTGATCCTTCATCCTCTTCAGTTCAAAATGTTGTGAATTGAACATAATAGTCACTCTCATTTAATAGGTTTTTGACTTAGATTATATTTCTGCCCTCAAGGAATTCCAAGGAATAGACAGCAGTTAAAGACAAAAGAAATACCCTCAACCTACCCCAGATTCTATTCTGTGCTGTTCTTATTGTACATTATGACACTATACAAGTCATTGCCTCAGGATCAACATAGACATATCAAATACTTAATATGTTCAGCACTTAGTGGGCTCAGGGTAGGGAGAGCAAGGGTTGGCTCGACAGATGGACAGTATGGCATAATACAGAAAAAGCATTATGGCGTGATTCCTGCCTTTAAAGAACCTACAGTTTAGTAGGGGAAGCAAAAAGGAAAACATGGAATAACCTGAGAACAATAAAGTGTGCATAGGTAATATCAGGGTTGAGAGCCAAATGTGGGCTGGCATGGGTTGAGAAGGCTTCATTAAGGAGGTGGGGCTTGAGTTGAACCTTCAGATATAAGCAGGATTTGCCTGGTCAGAAGGGAGGGAGAAAGCAGGCAGGGGAAGGGACTAGCAGGAGAGAGTGACCAAGGCACCCTACTCCCCTCACAAATGGTTCTATTTCCTATTGACACTGATACTCCAGTAGATTTGTAAAGTCGCTGATGCTGTAGTGGTGTAGTTTGTAATCACAGGCTCACAAGAGCATGGTTTGAAATTTGAAAGGTCCTTCAGGGTCTGTCAAGGCCAACCTACTCATTTTGCAGTTGAGGAAATTGGTGGCCAGGGTGGCTGACTTGCCCAAGGTAACACAGATATTAAGACTCATATATGTAGGACTTGAACTCAAATCCTTTGACTCCTCACCCAGTCCATCCATGCTTTCTTTTTGTGGAAAATTCTTGACCCAACTTGCTTGCTTGTTGTTGTCATTGGACTTTCATTGTTGAAGAGGACCAATGACATTAGGAGGGTGATGTCTTGTGAGTGAATTGGATTTGTGAGGCAGGGCTATGCAAAGTCATCAGCCTCGCTCCTCCAGAGTCATTGGAGTTTAACAGTAAGATATAGATCAGGACGACTGGAGAGATAGTTCGGGATGACCAGTCATGGCCCCGGATGCAGTGGGAGACCCTCCCATCTTCCTTAGAGCACTCAAGAACAGTGTTTTGTATTGACCATCTCCCTATTGTCAGTAGGTGGTAAAGATTAGACTGCAATAGAATGTTTTGCTTTCCTTGAGAGAGTTTTGGCACCTCCATAGATGCCTAATTTCTAGACACTTCTCCCCTGCTCCTCCTTTATCACCTGGCATCTGGCAATTCCATTGCAAAGAATACCAGATTCCTCTATGGTACTCTTCAGATACAGATTATAATCATTGCTCAAGGTTTTTGTTAATTGATTCTCATTTTCCCTTCCCTTAGGGATTATTTATTTAATATCAACTCTTAGTCACTTGGAGTCTACTAGCGTGCTTTTGACTGTCTCTGCCCGAGATGGTGGTGGGCTCACATCTGTAACTAATGCAGAGGTCACCATCCACATCCTCCAGACTGCTCTGGCACCTGCCATTTTTGAAAGGTCAAAATACATCTTCTCCATTCATGAAGACATGCCTGAAGACAGCCCTGTTGGAACTGTGAAAGCAAGAGAGCCTTTAAGTAAGTGGTCGCTTCTCCTGTTGCATTTAGAGGTTTTGGAGTTAGAGATTTTCTGTTCAGCTCTGCATCATAGAGCTATGAGACAATTCTCCCTTTTCTCCAATATTTCTCTGCCTTACTGAATGTACTTTCCCAAAAGGGGAATAAAAAAATGAGAAATTAAGCCTCTACTTTCTTTTAATTTATTTTATTCCTTCCTGTTTTTTACTTGTAGAAAAAGGACATTTTTATCCTTCTGTTAGTAGAAGAAGAGAAGTATACAAATGAAATTGTTTTGGGTTTTCGTGACTAGGAAGAGCCAGTGATCTTCTGAATATTCATCCCTTTTATCTAATGCAAGAAAAATGAAAGATTAAAAAGAGAGCACTGGTTTGGTCTTTGACTATTCATCATATGTTTGAGGGGAAAACCAAACATTCCCAGAATGACCCAACTGTGTTCAGTTTTATATGGTAAACAGGACATGTTGTGGCGAGGCTCCAAGGCCATGAGCAAGAAAATATTAAGAGTTTAGGAAGGAGTAACAGATTGTGTTATATTCTTCACAGATGTCATTTAGAATAGCAGGCAAATCTTTCTGCTTATCAGAAGTATCGCTTTAATTTTATTACTTGCAATGATTGCTTTGCTCTTCCCCCTCGTCTTTCCCTCAGATTCCTTGGAGACAGTATCTTACAGAATTTCCTCTGGAGATCCCTCTGGGAGTTTCACTATTGACCCTAGGTTTGGTGTCATTCGTACCCGGAAGCAACTGGATCATGAAACACAGCCCAGAGTTATCCTCACTATCCAGTCACAATTGGGCAGCTCCCCTGTCTATAGTAGCACCCAAGTCAACATCACTGTGATTGATGTCAATGATAATCCTCCCATTTTTCACACAGCTTCTGATGAGGTGAGGTTATTACAGAGTACACTGCCTGGAACAGCCTTATATATTGCTCATGCAGAAGACAAAGACAGTGGCCAGAATGGATTTGTCCAATATACCATCGAAAACCAGAGGTCAAACGTCTTTGCCATTGATTCGGATACTGGTGTCATCTACCTCAGTGGGACCCTTGGGCAAGAAATGCAGCAGAGTTGGACTCTGTATATCAGGGCTAAGGACCTAGGAGTTCCCCCCTTAACATCTCTGTTGATGTTGACAGTGACTATTGAAAAACCTCACTTGAAGCCTCCTTTGGCTTTTGAACACTTAGTCTATCAGATAGAAATCAGTGAATTCCTTTCACCAACAACCAGGATACTTCAAGTCCAGGCCTTCTCACTAGAGCCACATCATACAACATCCCACATTGTGTACTCACTGGAACCCAGGACAGACTCTGTTGCATTTGGCATTGATGTTTCTACAGGTTGGATTTTTTTGCAGAGGCCTCTGGATTATGAAATATCCCAAATATACCATTTCAAAGTATTTGCCTGGAGCCTGGAGGACAGGTTGAGGCAAAATGCGAGTACGGCCATAACAGTTCATGTTCTAGATGAAAATGACAATTGTCCAACCTTTTTGCATGATGTCCTTTTTTTGCAAGTTGAAGAGAACCCCACACCCCAAGGGGTAATAGGAACAGTTGTAGCGACTGACAGAGACTCTGGAAAAAATGGACAGTTGTCATATTTCCTTTTATCTGATGGGAAATTCTTCAAGATAAATCCCAACACAGGTAGGATGCTGTTGCCTTGGTTTTCTCATAGCATTAACAAATGTCATATATTTCGGTAAGTTCCTTATGGATAAAGATTGTTTCACTTTTCGTGTCTGTAGTCCTATTTCCTCGTGTGATGCCTGGTATATAGAGAGTGTTGAATAATGCCTTTAGATTGCTTGGTCGATCAGATAGAACATCGCATATACATGTATGATTATAGCAAGGGTCCAGGAAGCAACATACATCGTTTTACTATTGTGTGACTTTAAGAAGTCAGAATTGAATGGCACTTTAGCAATTATATTGTCTGAACTAGAAACATTCAATTGTACTTCACAGCCAAAGATTACAACACTGTTATTCACATAGGCTTTCCAGTTTATGTGGATAGCATTTGATTCAAGTGGTGATAACATTTTTCACCTGAATTAGAGGCAAGACAGAAACCAATCTGGTGAGGCCCCATGTACAAGTTCTAGGACTGTAGGTAGAGCTGAAAGGGACCTCACAGAGGTTTCATGTTCAACCCACTCTATCCATAAAGAAAGAGAAGCCAAGGGTGGTTAAGTGATTCGCTTAAGATTTTTTAGTTTCTAGTCTCTGCTCACTTTCCCTCCTTCCCACTGCTTGGTATTCTTTCAGTTAATCTTTTGCAAAATGTCAAAATCCTTATTCACCACACATGATCTCATTAATGCCAAGCTTTGGGAAATAAGTCCATTGACCAGATGTCAAAACGATCCTGGGATGGATGTCTCTATTTATACCCTTTTAGGAAGAAAACACACACCCACACACACATTCATAAACCCTAAGGTGATGGTCCTTGGGGGTGGAGATGGGGTGGCACACATTTCTGATCCTCTGAGTTCCCTTCCCATGCCTTCCATAATTCAATGATCTTAGTATTTAAAGTTATTTGTTCACAATTTGCCAAATGAAACATGTGTGGCAACCCATGAAACCACATACATGTTTCATCTTGCAAATAATGAATTATTATGTACATGGTTTATGGAGTCTGCATGAGACTTGCATTTCTAAAGTCTCTTCCGGCACCCAGTGCCATGAATCTTTACACCAAGAAATTAAGTCAGATGGCAGGACAGATTTCTAGACCTTTTGTTTCTCTCAGTATTTTTAAAGATAAAAATATACCAGGTAGCATTACCTCTGTTAACTACTTTCCCTCCCACAACTATGAAAAAAAGTCCTTAATCCCCAACATTGAGAGTATGCTAGTAAAACTTCATTTAGTTTAGTTTGACAAAGACAGCAAAAGGGAATTGCTTTTAAAGGGAGGTTGAACAAGGGCACACAGCAGCCCGTGGCTGCCATCTTAGGCCCCACTCTTTTGTAGATGCCTTGGAAAAAAGCCCTGGTGCTACAGTTCTCCAAGGGCACAGTGGTAGAAACTAGTCCTAGTCTGGTGAAGAAAGCAATGTAGACCAAGAACTAGTGTGAGTGAGTTGGTGCAGAGATCAGTAGATAGCTGAGCAGGAGAAGAGGAACAAAACTGTAAATGAGAAGCACTTTTGCTGGTTTTGGAAACGGGGATTGGGAATTGGGAGTTTCTGAGGTTTGTGACCCAGGTATGGAGTCAAAGAACGAAGCCCGGTGAACGGGAGAAAAAAAGGGAATGAATTCAGATGGTGAATTTGGTGAATGGTAGGAGAATAACAAAGACAACAAAAACATTTATCTAGCACTTACTATGTCCCAGGCAGGGCACCTAGGTGGAGCAGTGGATAGAGCTGGAGTCAGGAATTCTCATCCTCATGAGTTCAATCTGACTATAGACACTTGCTAGCTGTGCAACCCTGGATGGATCACTTAACCCTGTTTGCCTCAGTTTCGTCATCTGTAAAATGAGCTGAAGAAGGCAATGGCAAATCACTCCAGTATTTTTGCCAAGAAAACCCCAGATGGGGTCACAAAGAATTGGACAGGATTGAAACAACTCAAAACACCAACAATGTGTTCCAGGCACTGTGTTAAGTACTTTATATTTATCATCTCATTTAATTCTCATAACAGCCCTAGCATATAGATATACAATGATTATCCCCATTTGATAGATGATGAAACTGAGGCAAACAGAAGTTTAAGTGACTTGCCCAGGATCACACAGCTAGTAAGGGTATAAAGTTGGATTTGACCTGGCTGAAGATCCAGTGTCAGCTAAAACTGAGTTCTAGGGCATAGTTAGAAGGCACATAAGGATTTGTGTGAATGAGAATGAGGAGGGCAGAATTGTTGTAAAGATCATTTAAAAAGATGAGTATGTAAAAACTCTTTGAAAACTACAGAAGACAGTTGTAAGCTGGTATTTATTCACTACTTACATAATAGTTACTATTTGATATTGTTATTGTTCAGTATTGATAGGTAGTATGATATAGTTGTATAGGGGACTGGTCTTAGAGTGAAGAAGATATGGGTTCAAATTCTTACTCTGAGCCACACTTCCTATGTGACTGTGGGCAGGTCACTAATGCTCTCAGTGCCACAGATGACCCTTTAATTTGGTAAGTTATAGATGAAATGTCTGCTTACGTTTAGGGAGTAGAAGGATTGATTGAGGGAATTTCCAAATTGGGAAATCCTTGCACAAATGAAATTGTAGTCCTTGGTCTTCTGGCCCCACAAAGAATTACTATTATTGTTTACTAATTATATATTATTGTTAATTTTGGGGGTATGCATAGTCCAGATCTGTGATTTTATTAGTGTAGGGAACCCCACAAGGAAATTTCCTTTATCAATGCACTCTGGCATTTCCTTGCTCTGAAGTTTCTAGTCTTTGAGAGCTGCCTGGGAGAGGTTAACTGACTTGCCTAGGGTCATATAATCAATTCACATCAAAAGTATAATTTGAACTCAGATCTTCCTGACTGATGCAAATTTTCTATCTTCTACACCACATTGCCTCTCCATTATTACTTGTTAATATAATAGTACCTTAATAATACTAGAGAATGTAGCATATCAAGGGACAGGGTGAATACTGTCTTCAAAACAATGTTCTCATAGAGCACTTTCCTATATTTTGCAACTAGAGGGAGCTAGGAGACAGAGACCCTAGGAGACAGAGGACCAGAATGTTTTCCTCAGATTCTGTCTATTATTGACTCTTATTGACTCTGGGTCGAGGTACTTGACCTTTTTATAACCAAATCTTGCCTTCTGAAACATGAGGTTAATCCTACAGAATGACATCGCTCTGGGAAAATTGCAAGAATTCAGAAAATGTTGCATAGGAAGCATTTTATGTATGTCACTAAGATGGCTACTTAAGGATTCAACCTATTTTGTGAAGTGATGAATAAAATTAATATGTGGGCTGAGGATAAAACATTACTTATGGTGGTACAGGTAAGTACCCCCCCATAGTACTTAAGAACACTGAAATATATATGGGGGATAAAAGAATGGCACTTAAAATCATCCCATTATTCCACACTCTCCGAAAAGTAATTTATTTTAAAATGTCCATTGGGGAAATCATGCTGTTGGGATGACACGGCCGAAGAATAAATCATCTAGTGACCACCGTGTTGATGGTGAGCCTTTCAGCTAAGTCAACATTGTGTATGGTCAGGTTATTAAATTGGGGCAAAATGTCTTAACTAGCAGGAAAAGTCATCATATAGTCTATAGCCAATAGGCATTTATTAATGTGTTAGTTAGTAAGTCTAATTTTTGGCAATTAGATGGTTCAGAGGGTAGAGTACTGGCCCTGGAGTGAGGAGGACCTAAATTAGAATCCAGCCTCAGAAACTTACTAGCAATGTGACTCTGGGCAAGTTACCTAACCTATTTGTTTTAGTTTTTTCATCTGTAAAATGGGGATAGTAATAGTACCTATCTCCCAGGGTTGTTGTGAGGATAAAAATGAGATATTTGTAAAGTTCTTAGCACATTGCCTGGCACGTAGTAGGTACTATATAAATACTAGTTATTCATATTATTCATTTTATTAATTATATCATATAGTATTTTAGAGATGGTAGTTGTTTCTATAGGATTTTTGAATATTGATATTTAATATAAAGATTTTGATATTTATTGTTTTTATCTGTTTTATTTTATCCTGTATCCTTTAGGTGAAATTATAAATTGGATGGCATTAGACCGGGAGCAGCAAGTACATCACCAGCTGATGGTTCTAGTGACTGACCATGGCTCCCCACCACAAAATGCCACCATGATAACTTACATCTCCATTACAGACCTCAATGATAACAAACCTTATTTTCCCCAATTTCTCCCTGGAAAAGAACTCAAAATTAAGGTTCGTGGAGCCAAGTAATTTTAAATGAATCTGCGGTAGAGAGAGCTCTCCTTCCTAAGGGTGTGACCTTGAGCAAGCTCTCACTTTCTCCCTCTCAGAATTGTTTTCCCAGCTATAAAATGTCAGAATTGCATTTTGAAGATACTGAAGGTCTCTTGGAGCTCTAGAGATTCACTGTGATTCCATAATTCCCACTCATGTAAGAGTATGCATCATTTGTTTTGAGCGCCATCTTGTGGTAAAAAATTTGAATTTTTCAAATACTATCTCAAGTGAAGAGTTTAGTTCATCAGCAAGTAACCATTGGACCAGAACTTTGCAAAGTTTTAGCAAACTAAGCCTTAATTGCATATTTTTTACCATTTAGAGGCTATTAAAGCTAATTGTTCTTATCATCACAAAGTACTGATCTTCAATTAGAAAGATCACCTTAACTTATAATGAAAAAATGCTATCCATCCCTAGAGAGAACTAATGAACTCTAAGTACAATCTGAAGTATAATTTTCTCTCTTTATTTTTCTTGCTTTTATGGAAATAGGTTTTGAATTATCACGTATAATTTATATATTACTTGCTTGCTCAGTGGGTGGGGGACAGAGTGGGAGAGAGAATTTAGAATTCAAAAATTTAAAAGAAAAGTGCTAAAAATGAATAAATAATAAATTGAAATGTTGAAAAAAAGATCACCTTACCAACCATTCGTGAGTTTGAACTGCTCTGTTGGGAGATTTGGACGCTTTGCACTGATTTCTCTTCACTCACTAATTAATTCAGTACTTCCCTCCTTATCTCACTTTACCTCCACCCCCACTTCCCCACCCAAAACTAACCAGACCTTGCATGAATCATCTCACGCTAACAAATCTTGTTAACATGATGCTCCAAAAAAATGACCCAGTCATCCTATTCTTATAGAAACTTACTGAATACCCCCCAATTATTTTTGACACAATGGATCTGTATCCACATAATTGTATGTACTTATTTTACCTGGTTAATGCTGATCTCATGCTAAACACTTATATTTGTTAAGGAAGTTATATCTCTGATTCAGCTCTCCAGGTTAGGGACTATATAAAAGCTCTATAAGTCATTGTCTTTGTGCCCTATGGGTAATTGAAATATTGTCCAGATTTGTGTGTGTACTACAGAAATGTGGAAACATGAAATCTGTCTACATGGCTAGGAGATTCAAGGCAAGCTGCTCACGTTTGAGGAGACACATACTTTGTCCTTATAGTAAGATTTTGTATTTTCCTCCAATGTGATTGTCTATGACAGCCCCTTTGTGTATAACCTTTATGGGCAAACATATGTACTGTGTTTTTGTTTTTTTTTCAGTACCTTGACAAGGAGGGCTTAGTGGTAAAAGGATCTGTAATGAGAAGGTGCTATAATCCCCAAAGGAAATTCACAATCTCAGTGTTTTCAATTTCCTTGATTTCCTTCTTTTAAAGAGTTACTAGAATCTGTCAAATACCCTGTAGGGTAGTTGGTTTGTCTTTAAATGGAGCTCTTTAAAATGTGCAATTTGGCATATTTCCATGGCCTCTACCCAGATAGCTTTACAGAGAGTAAAACTGAATTTCATGTCGAATTTAAAAGTAAATGAGAAGGGTTAAACAGATGATACTCTCTCACTTAAAGTCTCTTTAATACATTTTATTTTTAATTATAAAACAAACACTTGTAAGCCATTTACTTTTATGGCAGGTCCTGGAAGGTCAGACTGCAGATATGTTGGTTACCACTGTATTTGCAAAGGATTTTGATTCAGGAAACAATGGAGAAGTTTTATATTCATTATCTTCAGGTAAGATTTTATGATTGCTATGGAGAGATTATGTAAAGTCTTTAGGAAAACTTGAAGGCTGATAGATTTTGCAGTTTGTAAGTCATGCTGAAGATGAGGGGAGGGAAAGAAAGGGAAGAGGGAGAGAAGAGAAGAGAAAAGAAGAGAAAAACATTTGAAATGGTATGAGCAGTCTCTCCAGTTATTCCATCTTGGTTGCTATTCCTTCAGTCCATTGTGATTCCCAAATGCCTCAGAAGGTGACCACCTTAACTGTGATGACTGTAATTTTAGAATTGGGGTCCTTAGCCTTTTTTAGTGTCATAGACCCATTTGGCAGTCTGATGAGACCTATGGACCCCTTCTTAGAATAATGTTTTTAAATGGATAAAATAAAATATATAACTCTATAAAGGAAAGTAATTTTACTGAAATACAGTTATCAAACATTTAAAAAGTTGAGGGATCACGGGTTAAAAAACTTTTTTCTACAATATCCTCACCAACATACTCAGAGTCTATTCATTCTGCTTAAACTGAGAGGGACAGCCTTAATAACCTTTCCTAGCATTCCTAGTCAGTTAGAATACCCTTGCTGTGTTCTCTTTGACTGCCTTGTGTCTCATCCTGACTTATGGTGAAACTGGAAGAAGGAACAGTTATGTAATAGTGTGATCACATTTTAATATAATCAACATTATGAGTGAAACCCTTTCACCTCCTTGTCACCCCCTCCTTGGCCCCATTTGTTTTCTTTATGGCTAATTGTTTACTGCCCCCCTTTTTTACTTGATTAGTTCTGGTTCTTACCCTTCTCCTGACCAATAGACTAGTTAAGTATTATAAAAAACAAAATTTACATTAGATTGTATCCATAGCAATCCTCTGAGCTTGATTAGCTCCCAGATATCCACTGCCTCTCTCAAGAATTCTTGCCCCATTCCAACTACAACTGTTTCAGAGAAAGTATCTGTACAGTACTTGATAAGCAATTTGAGGAATTTTCAATGACAATTTGACTGCATATGATTTTCACCTTAATTTAGTACCTAATTCCTACATACAATATGACTTTACCCTGGTTAATTATGTTTGTGCTTATTTGAAATAACCTTAATTTTGAAACCAGAATGGAAAAAAAAGGAGTTTGAAACCTTAATGGGAAAAAATGATAGTGTGCCTTCTGTGTTAAAACAAAAGCCTTCCAGCTTTAATAAGTCATTTTAATGTTGTGAGGCAAGGATTACATTTTTCTCAATACATACCATTATGGTATGAGTAAAAAGCATATTTAACTTTTTGGGAATTCTAAAGGGAACATATGACTGTATTGAATATTATACATGAAAATCACACACATATATATTCATATATACACACATATACATGTGCATGTTTATGTTCATGCATATGTGATAGGTATATGCTACTCATGGTTCAAAGCTCATTTGCATAAGACTCTTACTGAATTCTCTGCATCTGTGTAAGGGGCAGAATTGAGAGAAGGAAAATCTTGATCTTCTGGCTTTAAGAGAGAAGAGATTCGGTTTCAGATTCTCTCCAGGTCCCTAAAGGGAAAGAAGGACCCTGGGAATAAACTAACTCACAGAGGAGCAAGCACCTTGATCATGTCCCTATTTCCAGCTTAGTACAGTAGATAGAGCCTTTGGGAAATTTCTCCTTGGCTGAGATCTCAGACTCTCTCTCTCTCGGTTGAACTGAGCCTTCTTGCTCCCAATGGAATAGGTCATTCACTCTGTTTATCATTTGGTATGTATTCTCATCTCTAGATTTCATTTGATTTCTTTTTGTTACTGACTTTTAAAATGGGTTTATTTGCTATTTGCTAAGCATGTTTATTGTGGAAATACCTCTTGGTGGGAAGGGGAGTAAACCTTGGATATATTGCTTGAGTCACATCTTCCTCATTAAGGGAGAGTAAACAGGCGCTCAATTTGAACCTAAACATTATTTTCCCCAGACTAACAATGTTTAAGGGAGTAGATATAATTCTATCCTGCTAGCTTTTCTCAGAGAAGGGCAGAATGGCCAGCTGCTGGTCCCAGCATCCTGCCTCTCTAAACATAACTGTTCCCACCTCCCTGTGAGCCGTATCTAAATAGATCTACGTGGATACGCGTAACTTATGTGGCCAAAACACAGAAAAAAAAAAAAAACCTTTACAAATAAAAAAAGATGTAAAGTTAAATATATATGATAGAACATCATATGTATTAAGTTCTTAAGTCATACCTTTCTTTAAAAAAAAAGTTCCCAAAAAAAGTAGTGTACTAGATTACCTAATGAAGACATCATGACCATCTCTCCAAGTTTATCTTCCATTTACTTTGTATATATCTTGTATGCACATCAAATGAACATAGTTGTTTCACTTTGCCTTCCCTACTAGAATGTAAGCTCTTTGAAGAAAAGAACTATGTTTTTACCTTTCTTGGTATTCTTAGCACTTAGTTTAGGATAGTGCCTGGCACATAGTGAATGCTTAATAAATGCTTGTTGATGAGCCTTTTTTTCATTCTAATTTTAGTTCTCAGTTGCCTTACTTGTGATTCAGGGGTTAAATAGGATAGAGAAATTTTCTTTTTGTATTTCTTAAAAAATATACTATATTTCCATATGCAAACAAGTAATCACTTTTTAAAACAATTTCTTGACAAAGCTGCCTATATTTCTTAGGTTTGGGGGATTAAATATGTTAGCGATAAACCTTGATTTATTATAAAAAAAATGGTGAGGCTTTGTTGGGGACAGGAGGGAAAGGAGTCTAGGGTAGTATTTGAATCCAGAGGCCAGGGCATTTGCTTTTTATTCCCTGCCTTTTTATTTTAAAGGATTTATGAGGTTAATATTTTATGCTTAACACTTTTAAAACCCTTATGACTGACTTGGACAGCTTATAGTGTGACTGAAGGGAGGTTGTACAAGAGAACATAACTGATGTTTCCAATAGCACCTTCATTCTAAGTTTTCCCACAGGTTATTATTTTTTCTTAGCTGTGGCTCACATTCATGGGCCATTCCATTTATACTTGTGATTATTTACGTGACATTGGCACGGAAAGAATGAAAAGTAAACTATCATAAAACAGAATTACTTCTCACCCTGAAAGGGCAGGAATGAAACTCTTGTAATCCTTTCACAAGATTGACTATAGTCACTACTGTACTGCTGTGGGATATGTTGTATTTCGGTTTTGTGTGTTTGACTTGAAGGAGGGAATTAGAAGAAATCATTTAAGTTACAAATCTCTAGAACAAGTAGAGGATTAAACCTACTTATATTCTTAGTTTCTCGATGATTGATGCATGTTGGGAAATATATGGTTCTTAGTACAGCTGTGCTTTTCAGAAGCAGAAAAATACGTTTATTTTTATGTAAAGAACCAGTAGGATTATGGTTAGTGTAATGGAATTTCTTCTACATTATCTAATTTTAAAATGTTTCTGTAACCCATTTTCCACTTAACTCTTGATGCACTCTGATTGGGGTTCAATGTGGGAATTTTGGATCATTATAATTTATCTCATATGGCTTGAGCCCCCAACCAATTTCTTGGGAACTTCTAAAGGTTATCTAAATTCAGTTTGTATCTTACTCATAGCCTAGGCAGGAATCATAAATTAAAATAGTAAAATATTTAATTGAGAAAGAATTACAAAACAATAGAAAAATATCTATGATCTTATAATCCTACGTATGGCTCACTACATACTCCCAAATGAGTGAAACTTCATCTCTGATTGTCGGCAGAAGAGAAACAGTTTCTCTGAGATTCACATACAGAAGAAGATCTCACTAGTTCTCTTTCTTGCCTTTGAACTAGAATAAGGTGGCTGTAGCATTTAGTGCAGATGTTTGCTTGAAGACTGCATCTGCTAGGTTCATAGTGTTCAGTTTATCTCTCTGCTCTCAGACATAGTTTCTCCTTAATCTTTGGCATTTCAGGCACATGCTAGGACTTTTGGGTTCCTGGATGCCATTATCACAGTCTTAGAAACCCCTTGGTTTGATCGTGTTTATGCTTCTCCTTTTTTAGTATCGCAATGTTGATATAAAAAAAAAGACAATTCTTTGTTTCAGAGAGAAACCTGTGGTCAGTAAAAGCCCTCTCCAATTTCCCAAGGGCATTTCAGACTGTGCTCCCCCTCCTATTTTATTTTGGACCTACTTCATTCTTTATCATCAGTGTCCAGAGGAGATAAATGCATTTAGGGACCAACTCTGTGGGTGACCATCCAAATGCATATCAGTCTAGACAATAGCTATTCTCTTCTAGTCACTTGGTCCCCTGCAAATAGGCAGAATTATTAAATTACTATAGGTCTCATTGAGGATTCTCTGCTGTATTCTAGGGCTTGATGCAACCAGCACAATCCCATATACAGACAAGAGCATCTAGAGGACTTCACCATCTATTGGGAATTTCTCTGCCATTTGTACTCTGTGCTGAAATCCTCCATGGAAAAGTTCTAGGGAAAGGATGGATGGATGGATAGATAGAAAGATAGCTAGCTAGCTATCTGGTTGGATAGACGGATGGTTGGAGATATGTGAGTGTATATACACATACACACAAATATACATTACACATAACACAAACAACAAAATATTCACAAAAGTGTCTATGATTATTGCATTGACAAAAGCATCATAAATAGAATAAAAATATGAAAAAATTCTAGTAATGGTATTTGTGCTTCTAACAGTCATCTTTAATGCTAGTGTTACTCAGAGCTGTTTAGCTTGTTGGAAGAGTCAAATTTCAAGCAGGATTTAAAAAAAAAATATTATTTTGATTTATCAACAATCAGTTCTATAAGCTTTTGAGTTTTAAATGTTTTCCCCCTTCCTTCCCCCCCTCCCCAAGACAGCGTGCAATCTGATATAGGCTATACATATACATTCCTATTAAATATATTTTCACATTAGTCATGTTGTAAGGAAGACTTAGAACCAATAGAAGGAACCTCAAGAAAGAGAAAACAAAAGAAAACAGAAGAAAAAAATAGCAAATAGTATGCTTCGATTAAGCAGGATTTTTTTAAAAAGCATTTTTGCTGTTTTTGGCCTATATTAGAAATATTCTCTTTCTACTTCTATCTACTTCTATTCTCTTTCTACTTCTATCTATTCTCTTTTACTTACTATCTAAATACTATACTTCTAGTATAGTATTTAAGGCTTGTTAATTTTAGAAAAGAGAGGTGCGTTTGGGCAAATGATTCTCTTCTTTTGTACTTGTAAATTAACATTAGAGTTTTGATTCTATTTCCATTTAGAAGAGAGTTCAGAGCACTTTAAGATTGATGCCAACAGTGGAGAAATAAGAACAACAACCCCACTCTCATATAACCATAGGCCGCATTACAGGATGCTTGTAGTGGCGAGTGACCAGGGAATGCCTTCTCTTCAAGGACATGCAGTCATTCACGTTGAGGTGGGTTTCTCTTGTACCTTTGATTTTGGAGCTTCATAGATCTTCATTCTCATCATTCCTTGTCACAGTGAATGGAATGAGCATGCAGCAATTATTTGTATTCTTTGAAGGGAGAATTTCATTCCTTATACTTGACTGTTGAAGCTTCGTATTAGTAGCAATTGGATGAATTAGGAAGGAGATAAAGTGTTAGAGTTAACTGTATTGGAAAATCTTTGTAAAAAAGGTTTGTTATACATTGTATGGTTTAAGAAATTTTCCCATCTGTTTTTGTGCAAAAAAAAATGTCTCCTGGGTTACCTCTAAAAGTATACTTCCCACTTCCAAAGATCTGTGAAGGACAAATTATGCACAAACAACGCCTACATAATAAATTCCATTGCTTGTTATTATTTTTTAGGGAGTTTTACAGAAGTCATTCTAGGACTTGCAATTTTGGATTTTGCTTTAATCATGGTGAACAAATGAGCTGTGGGTAGTCTCCTTAGAGTGAAAAAAAAGAAAAAATAAGTAAAATCAACAAAAAGCAGTAAAAAAAAAAGAGGGGAAGAGTATGAATAAATAGTCTTTTTGAGCATGCATGTAATTACCATTAATACAAATGCAAAAGGAGAATAAGTCCCTGAGAGCTCAGTCTCCAAATCCAATTCATTATTGATTAGAGATGTGTGGGTTAGGAAAAACTTGTCTATCATCATTCCTCAAGTCTCTTGTTTCAGACAAACAAAAACACATGATACTTAAAATGTACACAGATGTTGTCATATATATTGGCCTCTGGGATAAAGAATAATTTTGGGTAACTTTAAAGGAGGCACTAGTCATCCCACATTCCCAGTGAAGAAATCATGAGACTCTAGCATAGTTTAAGCCTTGAATGACTTCACTAAACTCTCATTTCAGATGTTGGACAAACCAAACAGGGTAAATAAGTTCTGCAGTGGCTTTACCTACTATGTATTGTGAATTTTTTGATGACTGCCCAGATGTAATATAAAAAGAGCTGACTTTCTCTGATGAATCACCCTCTAAATTAGTCTTGAAATGGAACAATGAAAACAAAAAAAAAATCTAGCAGATTTTCTGTATTTTTGTTTCAGGTGATTCCACTCTCCAAAGAGAGGCCTTCAGTTTCTCGTTATATTCAGCATTTGGTCATACCAGAAAACTTTAAGCCTGCAAAAGTAATGAGCCTGATAAAGTCCCCTGATTATCTACAGCAGCATAATGGAAAGCTACAGTTAAGTATAGTTGAAGAAGACAAGGATATCCATTTTGAGATTGACAGCTCAACGGGGGACTTATTTCTTTCTAGGGAACTTGACTATGAAATGACCTCTCACTATCTTCTCAGGGTGACTATGAAAGATAATAGCAAGAATCCTCCACTGAATAGCACCATCTTCCTTAGTATTGATGTGGAAGATCAGAATGACCATTCCCCTTCTTTCCAGGATGATTTCATAGTGATCAGCATAGAGGAGAATGTTTCTGTAGGCACCTTGGTCTACACATTTAATGCCAAAGATGGAGATGGCAGCTTTCTAAACAGCAAAGTACAGTATTTCATTGAAACTAACAGTCCTGGTGAAAATCCTTTTCTTATCCACCCCTCATATGGCACATTGGTCACTGCATCCCCATTGGATAGGGAGACCATTCAGTCCTTTATCTTGACAGTGACAGCATCAGACCAGGCTGTGAATGTAACAGACCGGAGATTGAGAACCATGACAGCCAAGGTGGTCATTTTAGATGTCAATGACCACAGTCCTAGCTTTGTGTCCTCTGCTATTACCTATATCTCAGAAGATGAAGAAATAGGTTCCTTGGTGCATCACATTGTTGCTAAGGACCCGGATGAAGGAAGGAATGGAAGAATCACATATAACATTCTCTCAGGAAATGAAAACAAAACCTTCATGTTGGATGAGATATCAGGTAGGGTGGACTATGTTAACTTTAATTTTAACCTATGTTTAACCAAGTAAATTCATACTTTTTAACTCCTTTCATATTTTCTTACGGAATTATAGTTCTCAAGATGTGATAGCTACAATTTGAAAACATGATTATCATTTGTATTTCATTCTCCTTATTGCTTGAGTTAGATTTTCAGTGGACACAAACTGAAATATGTATGGATGATAGCTTTTGTAGAAAAGTACTAGTGACCACTTTTGGTTACCAAATCATAGGCTGGTAAATATATGGGAGACATAGAGACAGAGACAGAGAGAAACAGAGAGAGAGAGAGAGAGAGAGAGAGAGAGAGAGAACAGGGGTTCTTTTTGGTGTCATGAACCTTCCGATAATCTTGTGAAGCCTATGATCCCCTTCTCAGAATAATGTTTTTAAATATATAAAATAAAATACACATGACTAAAAAGTAAAGTAACTACATTGACATAGTTATAAAATGTATTTTAAAAAGTTCATGGACTCCAGGTTAAAAATATTTCCAAATAGTTGACCCCCTCCTCCTCCTCTTGTTTATATCTGCAAAGGTGGAGATGGTGATTTTAAAAGTCAAGCTATGAACTTGAATCACTGACAGTCTACTGAGACATTAGTCTAGAAAATTTTACTTCAAAGCCATATGAAGGTATTTTGGCACTCCTAGCATCCATAATTTCATTGATGGGAATATTGCCTCTGCCAGCTCGGATTGCAATGCTCTGTGTCTTAGGAGATGATATTTGAGAATTGCAGTGGTTAAAACAATTTATCAGCCTGTCGCCAGCCTGTTGGTGAGCCTCTCCAAATTTATGCTGACTCTCAGAAGACCAGCCTTGACATTAGTCCCACATAAATGATCCTGGGACTGATTTGGGCATGAAGATGTTGCTATTCACATCCACTTATCAGTCAACCAATCCATAAGCATTTATCAAACATTTAGCATTGACTGTACTTAGCCCTAGTGACACAAAGAAAGTCAAAAATGGTCCTTGCCCTCAAGGAAGTTGCCTTCTTGTGGGAAAGCTACCATGTAAGTAAATAGGTCCACACAAGAAACCTACTGAGTAGATTTGCATTGCTTTGTTGTGGCAAAAACATGTGTTTGCTACAGTGTCAGCAGCTTAACTGTAAGAGAAAGATGGCAGAAATGGTGTTCCTTTCCACTTTCAAACTCACCTTTTCCTCTTTCCTTGGAAACATGGTGAAAGTACACCATCTGACAAATGCTTTGAGTTCTTTTGGTAAGAAGTTCTACATGGAGAGTTCTATGTGATACTGAAACTGAACCTCACAATAACTTCGTTTCCAAGTAAAACTGAAAGCAATGAATTAATATCTCATTCACTTCCTAGAAAGGGAGGTAACTTTTGCTTGAATCCTAGAAATACTGCCCCAAACATAGTAGCGACAGATTCTCCTGTCGATGAGCACATCATCCTGTCGATGAAGTGGGAATAGATGTCAAGTATTTGGAAATCATGATCTCTCCCTTATTATATTCTGCCTCTGTGTGTTTATAAATCCTCCACATCTGGTTCTCTTCTGAGGGCATGTGGACATGACCTAAACACCCAGCTGACAGAGAAATATGGCGAATGTAGGCCACTGATCTTCTCTGGATCTGGGCCTCCTACTTGCTCCGCTGATTCCCACTTTGTTTCCTGGGATAGCTAAGGCCAGTCTATTCAAGGCTGTCAAAGAAAGAAAAAAGGATAGATTTAGACAGATAAGTGTCCCAGCAAAAGGTGTCATGGATCTTTGACTGTGGCAATGCTTTTTCAATTGCTTAGGCATTTTTCTGGTACATAAAATGATAATTGTCAAATACATTCATGTATGAAAGGTTTATCTCTCTCTCAAGGTTCATATTTCTCTTCAGCAGACTTTTTGCAAAAGGGTTTTCAGTGGTTCCAGGCTATAAAGTAGGAAAAGTGCTCAAGAGAAATAATTATTCAAAGGTGGGTTTGTAGAACTCTAAACCAGAAAACCTCCTCCTTAATTATTTGAAATAAAACCTCATAGAAGGCTGAATTGTTTATGGAAGTAAATGCCACCCTTAAAAGAACATTTGATCCTGGGAATCTGGGTGCAGTTGTCCAGTACAAATCTTTATCACACTTTCAGCATATGGGTAGTTAGAAAGCAACAGTGGGCTGCAAGCTCCACCATGTTTTATTCATGAAGTTTATTGTCTTCCTCATAAAGTCTTTGCTTTTTACTGTCAGTAAAAGAGGCAGTTAACAGATAGGCAGTACAAAGAGAACATAATTCTATAATGCCGCGCTGAGAATTTCAGAAGACCAGAGCTAGACTCACATTCTCAATAACCAGCTTATTTAGGCAGGATAGAAATTTGACCTGTAGTAATTCTGAGTACCATTTGAGATACTGATTTAGACTGCTAATGCCCCTTAGACTATCTTAGATGGTTTAATTATAGCCTTCTTTATAAGCAGATAGAGAGACGAGCTGGGGTTCTTTACGTGGAGCTAACCCCCAAGGAGTCCATGAATCAATTTCAGGGGATCAGTGCACTTGAGCAGGAAAAATGATGTATCTTTATTTTCACTAATCTCTAAATGATACTTAGCATTTTCTTCAACTAGTGAATTTAAAAAAAAGAGGTTATTTTCAGAAGGTCTTTACTAGACTGATAAAAAGGTGTCACACACACAAAAAAAAATTATTAAGAACCTCTGCATTAGATGAATCCTAGAAGGTGCATTTTTTCTTTAATTTTGCATTGGACTGGATCTTCTTATTCTTCATTTCTACACTTCAGTCATGAACATTTATCAAAATTTCAAGTGAGTTTGAGTTCCCCTCACCTTTCCTTTACAATTGCAGAGCCTGAATGAATTTCCATCAAAATGTCCCAGTTAGATAGATGAATTGTGAAAACTGCCTACCCCTTTGGGGATATTGATGACATTTTTATCACTTAACTTTCTCCACCTAGGCTTGTTAACAACTATTTGTCCTTTGGACTATGAAACCCAAACCTTTCATGTACTGACCCTCCTGTCATTGGATGATGGCCTGCCAGCACTCTCTGCAACACAGACCTTGACAATTTATGTCCTTGATGTAAACGATGAGGCACCAGAATTTAAGCAACACCTCTATGAAGCTACAGTGGCTGAAAACCAAGGTCCGGGGCAGTATGTTACCAAGGTGGAAGCTGTGGACAGAGATTCAGGTAGTTTCATTCCTTTTATATTTAGTTGTTTTACCTAGATTATGGAGCATCGAATTGTTTCTAGAGAAAAATAGGTTAACCATCTGAGAATGACTTTCTGAAAGACAATGTTCATTCATTCTCTGGAGAGTCAAACATAAGCTTACTAATACTCAGAAAATGGTGCTTGACTTAAATTTAAAGTTAGACATGGGCCAGGAAACATACAGAATCACTTGTCTCTAGCTGTCTTGATTTTATTTTATCATTCAATTAAAAAATATTTATCAAATGCCTAGGGTATGCAAAGCACTTGTGTGATTAAGGTGATACAAAGATAAAAATGGTCACAATCCCTACTTTCAAGAAGATTACAGTCTAGTAGAATATGTTTCCAGATAAGGCTAGTACAAGGTAGAATATAATGTGAACAAAACAAAAATAATAACAAATCCAGACAAAGTGTTTCTGGCAAATTTAAGTAAGCAAAGCATTCTTTCAAATGGAGATATGCTTCTCAGAGGAAGTGGCACCTAACTAAGGTTTAGATGAGGTTTTTTTTTTTTTCTTGAAATAGGAAAAAATGAGAGGAGGGAGAACATTCTAATTCAAGGGGATACATTTGTCATTCGATTTTAGTTGTGTTTGACTCTTCGTGACTCCATGTTGGGGTTTTCTTGGCAAAGATGCTGGAGTGGTTTGCAATTTCCTCCTCCAGTTCATTTTACATATGAGGAAACTGAGGCAAATGGGCTTAAGTGACTTGCCCAGGATGACATAGGTAGTAAGTGTCTGAGGGTGGATTTGAAGACAGGTCTTCCTGACTCCAGGCCCTGCTCTCTATCCACTGCTCCATGCTGTGTGTATGCAAGGAGCTGAGAAAGTGTAAGTCTCAAAATACCTAGTCTTCCACTGGGATAAAACTTAGTGGACAGTCTTCTTTACCTATTCAGAGAGAGATGCATGCATAAGACACCACTGCTTTTATCTGACTGTTCATCTTACTGGAATACCTAGCTCAGTGCTTTGCACATGCTAGGAACTTCTATATTTGTTGATTAAAATTTGATAAACACTATGAAAAGTGTAGACAATCTGTTTCTTCTTTCCATTTAGAATTTAATAGTTAAAGATACAGTATTAAAAAGACAAATAGAGTTCTATTCATCCAGCTCTTATCTACTATGCCCAGGAAAATGTTTTTGATATGAACAAAAACTCTAAATGGAAAGGAATTGGAACATTTTTCCCCCCAAAATGCTTACCAATAAAACTACTCTCATCTTTCACAAATTAGAGTTCTATAAGAGTTTATCATTATTTGAAATATAACTATGACCTGTATGCTATAATAGTAATCAAAATAAGTAGTGGAATATGTAGCTTTTGCCATTAATAGTATATGCTTCATTTGTGAATGTCAATAAAAGATAGTAACAAACACACTAGTCCCTTTCTTTCTACTTGTTATATATCACAAAATACATTGTACATCTGTATAACACAATGTTCTATTTTTGCCAAGTAAAATGACATTAGAAATATTTCTGCAGTACTCATAATGAATTAGTTCAATTTCTAAATTAAAAAAAACCCCATATTTAATCAGAATTTTTGGCCTAATCTACATGACCTTTGTTTAAAATCTCTTAGGTGCTTCTGCTATATCATTTGGATGTTCTGGATAAATGGATAAAGTTTTTTCGCCCTTAATTCTTTGCTGCTTTATTTGACAACATACTTCTTTTCATATTTTTATTGAATGTGATAAACAAAGTTGGGATGTGGAGCTTGTAGGAAGTAATTTTAGTGCTATGCATAAATGTAGCATAGGTTCTATACTGCATTGCATTGAATCCTTACGACTTTGCAGATAGTTAAAGTTAGAACCACTTACAAATGTTTTTATAATGGTGATTAAATCTAGTATTTTTCAGGTGCACTTCTCACTTTTGACCAGAGTGGGGCAGCATGATCAAAGAGTTTTTCTTACTCCAGTCATCAAGGTCTAAAAGCGATTGCATTGCTATGATAATCACACTGAAGCCTTACCACACTACTTAGATGAAGGGTAACACAGAAACTCCTAAGTATTAGAATTTTGTAAGGTGAATTCTATAGAGCATGCAATGTAAAATTCATGTAGGATTATATTTGGACACAGTCCTAACATGTAAAAACAAAACACCATGAACTGCCCATTTTTATACAAACATTTCATGCCCCTGTCTCTGACTTCATCTGAAGTATGATGGTTAGCAAATATTTGTCTATATAAAACTCTTCTATTGGGTAGAATTATGATTATATAAGATAATGATGATTTTGTTCAATTTTCCCTTCACTTCATGGCTCTAGAATTGCCTCCTTCCCTCCCTCCTCCTCTTCCTCCTCCTCTCCTTCTCCCTCTTCCTTCTCCTTTTTCTCTTCTTCCTTCTCCTACTTCCTCTCCTTCCTTTTCCTCCTCCTCACCTTGAAAAAAATTGAAATGTGTTTATAGTATTGAACAATACCATTTTTAAATACAGTACTACATAGTACAATACATAGATACATGTGAATACTTTATATTCACAATTCATAGAATTTGGAGCAATGAAGGCTTATGGTGTGTAGCTCACAATTCTTTCAACAGAAGTTTCTTCTCAAATTAAAAAAAAAAAAAGATCAGTAGGTTGTAACTGAAGACATGAACACCAAGATTGGAATCTGTGAGAACTACCAACAATTTTTGAGGTTCAAAAATATCCTTTGTAGCCCTGTAGTTACCTCACTAAGGGAAGGATTCTCAACAAATAAGAATGGATGGAGTCTGTGTACCATTTATGTGCTAAAACAGTGTTAAATTAAAATGATGCCATACAGGTGTGTTGAAGTAGATAATGGAAGCTTTATTCTCAATTTATGCAGAGTAAGATTTCTGGAACCAAGTTCTCTTCCTTGTACATGGTCTATGTCTGGCTCCAGGAAAAATCCCTGGAGAATGTATCGGGGAAGAAAAGTCAATATTGCTTTAAAAACAAAAACAAAAATCCTTAATGGTGATTCCACTAAGAAACTTAGCAGGGGGAGGAAAAGGTCTTCTGTAAGTCTTATTTTTTCCATTAGTTTTTTGGTGGTTCTAAGTCAAGTAGAGCTTTGACTCCCGACGATTAGGGTCTTCATGCACTGTCCATAAGCATATCCTGGAAGTGTCCTCTGAGCATATTAGTAGTGCATTAAGGCTTGCAAAGTACTTTCCATACCATTTATATCATTCAAGTCTCACTCATATCAGCCCTGTGAAGTAGCCAGGACTATTCTATGTTCAACTATGGCATAGTGAATTTGTCATTTCAGTGAATATCTGTTTTGTTATGTAACATCTCTGTTGTGCCTCTGTGGACTCAAGGGTCATTTCTTAAGCAGACCAGGTGCTAATCTGTGTTACTAGGTCAGTTATATCAATTTTTTTTTGTTACTGAGGCAAAGATTTCTAGATAGTATAGACTGATTAGAAGTGATCAAGGTAGATCCTTTCACCCAACCAATCTTGTATTCCTTAGGCTCAGACAAACTTTCACAGTGCTCTGTAAATCCAAGCCATGCCTCCTGCCGTGAATGCAAGCAGACATTTTTGCACTGCCCATAGGTCAGGTAACTAGTATTTGTTGGGGAACATAAATGAATCCTAGATGGAGATGAATTGGGAAGGGGGAAAGGTCAAGTTTGGCAAGATGCAGTACCACTTCCTACTCAAGTAATGTGAAAGGGAAAACCTATATAAGGAGTAGAACCTACATCACTATTGACAGGGTGGTGTTATATGGAAGGCAAGGAAAGGAGAAATTTGATTGAGTTTCAAGAAGAAGAGAGAGGAGTGGAAATAGCCAAAAGGTAACTGATAAAGCCAAAAGTTTAGAAATGGTTTATGAGAATACAAAAATCAAATAATGGTTTATTTAGACATACATGCTAGCAATCTGGAATATATTCAGAAAATCAAAGTAGCCCAGGGACAAGATTGATGTGTAAGGGAGAATAGAAATTGGGATAGATAAAGTGAGACATATTGCCTTTTTGATTGTACAGTGATAATGTTCAAAATTAGTTTATCAAAAGCTGAGCAACTTGACAGAAGATATTTATGGAAAATAAAAAAGTCTTTTTAGAAGAAGGAGAAATGTAAATATAGTTATGTTAGACCTCTATTAAAAATCTGTTAGTGGATCCCTTTTGCCTAACAAGTAAAGGTCAGGCTCCTTTTTTTTCCTGGTATTTAAGGCCCCATTCTCTTCCCCCAACCCCTGCCATCATCTGGTGCCATCATTGATCTCTAGCCTTATTTTATGCTACTACCTTTTGTGTATTCTATATTATACCTGATTTCCTAGTCTCTATACATGCATTGCATTTTCTTGTTCCTTTGTCTTTATTTACATTAGGATAAGAGAGTCATAAATTTAGATCTGGAAGGGACCTTGGAGGTCATCAGGTCCAAGCTCCTCACTTTACAGATGAGGAACCTGAGGACTAGAGAGGTTGTGACTTTCCCAAGGTAGTAAGTAAAAGGAAAAATCAGAATTTGAACCTGAGTCCCAATTCTATGAGCAGCTAGGTGGCACCAATGGATAGAGTGCAGAGCCTGGAGTCAGGAAGACTCATTTTCTTCAGTCCAAATAAGACATGTACTAGGTGTGTAACTCTGGACAAGTCACTTAATCCTGTTTGCCTCAGTTTCCTCAACTATAAAATGAGTTGGAGAAGGAAATGGCAAACCACTATAGTATCTTTGCCAAGAAAACCCCAAATGAGGTCTTGAAGAGTCAGACACAACTGAAAATGACTGAACAATGAAAAGATGGACATTAAGTTTTGTCTAGATTTAATGATGAGAAATGTTAAATTTCATTGAAGAAATTATACAACACTTTCACTGACCCCAGGTTTCTCCTTGAAACTAATATCCACTGTTTGAAAACTAGTATTTTTCTGATGATTTTCATGTTGTTGAATATATTAGTTTCTGAACAATCAATTAT